TTATATATATAAATATATATAAATATATATAAATATATATATATTATATATATATATAAACAAGGAGATAAAGAAGTAGAATAGAGAATAAGGGTTTACTAAACCCCTGAGGGTTTAGGGTTTAGGGTTTAGGGTTTAGGGTTTAGGGTTTATTAAACTGTAGTAGTTGGGGGCCATCAATCAAAACAAACAAATCGCAGCAAAACCTACAAAAACCTGCTTCTTAGCTTTCCCTCTGTTGCTGCTGCTGCTGCTGCTGCTGCTGCTGCTGCTGCTGCTGCTCCAGCTGCTGCTGCTGCTGCTGCTGCTGCTGCTGCTGCTGCGGTTGCTGCTGCTGGTGCATCTGCATCTCACGTTGCTGCGTTTCCCTGCTGCTCTTCCTGCTGCAGCTGGTGCTTCCGTTGCGTTTGCTGCAGCTGTTGCTGCAGCTCTTGCTGCTGCTGTTGCTGCTGCTGCTGCCGTTGCTGCTGCTGCTGCCGTTGCTGCTGCTGCTTCTGTCGCTGTTGCCACTGCCGTTGCTGCTGCTATTGCTGTGGCTGTTGCTGCTGCTGCTGCTGCTGCTGCTGCTGCTGAGCAGCAGCAGCAGCAGCAGCAGCAGCAGCAGCGGCCTCCAACAAAGCAAAGATATTTAAGGGGCCCCCCCCATGTCAGGGTAGGGGGCCCCCATGGGCACCTGGGGGCCCCCAAACGGAGGCATAGTGTTGCGCTGCTGCTGCTGCTGCAGCAGCTGCTGCTGCTGCAGCTGCTGCATGTGTTGCTGCGGCGGATGCATGTGTGAGAAATGCTGCTGATGAATGTGTTGCTGCTGCAGCTGTGGATGATGGAACTGCTGTGGTTGCTGCTGCTGCTGCATCAAGTACTGCTGCTGCTGCTGCTGCTGCTGCTGCTGCTGTTGCTGCTGCTGCTGCGGCAGCTGCCGTGGTAGAGCATAAGCAGCATAGGGTTCGTCTGCTGCTGCTGGTTGTCTTTGCATGGAGGAGAAGGGGAAGAGTCCCTGCTGCTGCATCATCATCTGCTGCTGCTGCTGCTGCTGCTGCTGCTGCTGCTGCTGCTGCTCGCTAGCTAGATGAGACTCAAGGATAGCCAGCAGCTGCTGCAGCTTTGCTTTTTCTTGTCTTATCTCTCTTTTTGCTTCTTGTGCTTGTCTTTGTGCTTGCTGCAGTGATGATAGATCAACAGCAACAGCAGCAGGAAGAGCAGCAGCAGCAGCAGCAGTTTGTGCTGCAGCATCAAGAAGTATATCTAGAGCAGCAAAATTCTGTGTCTGTGCTGTTTCCCATGCTGCTTGCTGCTGCTGCTGCAGCAGCAGCAACTGTGCTGCTGCTTCTGTCTGCATATTCATCGTCGTAATTTTTTGTATATCTTCTTCTATTTGTTGTTTTCTTTGTGCTGCATCAGCAGCAGCAGCAGCAAGCAGTGTTTCTGCTGCAGCAGAGATCTGCTGCTGCTGCTGCTGCACCTGCTGCTGCAGCACAGCAGCATATCTACCTAATGCTGCTTCTGTTGCTGCTTTCAGCTGCTGCAGCGTAGCGTCGCANGCAGCACAGCAGCATATCTACCTAATGCTGCTTCTGTTGCTGCTTTCAGCTGCTGCAGCGTAGCGTCGCACTTTATTTGTTTTGCTTCTAGCGCAGCAACAACCTCCCGCAGGTGTTCCTCTTGTGTTTTTAGGGTTAGCTGTGCTGCAGCACAACGCTGCAGCAGCTGCTCCCCCACTGCCCTTCCTGCTGCGCCTGTATTATTTATTTTTGTTGCTGCTGCTTCTGCTTCCTCTAGCAGCTCGTACACCTGCTGCAGCCCCTCATTTACCTGTGCTAGCTGTCTCCCCAGCCGCATTTTTGTCTCTATATATATACTATCATTTAGTGTATTTATATTTGTAGGGTCAAGAAGAGGAAACGGTGCTGCTGCTGCTGCTGCTGCTGCTGCTGCTGCTGGGGTGTTGCCTCCTGCTGCTGCTGTTGTTCCTGGTGCTGCTCCTGCTGCTGCTGCTGCTGCTGCTGCTGCTGCTGCTGTTTCAGCAGCAGCAACACGCTGCAGCGATGCCTCGAGGGAGACAATGGTTTCATCTATAACATGCTCTCCTGCTTTTAGCTCTTTTATTTGCTGCTGCACTGCATGCAGCCCCGTTTGTGCGGAGACGATAAGGCTTCTGACGTTGCTGCTTTGCTGCTGCAGCTGCAGATGCTGCTGTCTTGCTTCTATTAGTTGCTNATAAGGCTTCTGACGTTGCTGCTTTGCTGCTGCAGCTGCAGATGCTGCTGTCTTGCTTCTATTAGTTGCTGCTCTACCCTCATTCTCTCTTCTTGCTGCTGACGCTGCAGCTCCTGTACTACTTGCTGCAGCTGCTGCTGCTGTCGCGCTTCCAGCTGCAGCAGTTGCTGCTGCATTGGGTCCAGAACTGCATCGCCTGCTGCTGCTGCTCCTCCTGCTGCTGCTGCTGCTGCTGCAGCAGGACCCATACCCCCATACCCACCAGCATGATGGTGGTGGTGATGGTGGTGTTGCTGCTGCATTCCACTGCCACCAGCAGCACCGCTGCTGCTGCTGCTGCTGCTGCTGCTGCTGCTGCTTCTGTTTGCTGCTGCAGCAGCAGCACCACCCCCCATAACTGTAGACAGCAGAGCTTCAGCCTGCAGCTTAAGGTGATGCATATGATCGTCAAGAGCAGCAGCAGCAGCAGGAGAATTTGTTTTTTGTTTAGCTTCTGTACTGTCTGCGTATCTCTCAGCTAGTTGTTTATATTGTTCTTGCTGCTGCTGCGGCAGCAACCCTAATAAACCCTTTATCTCTGCATGCCCTCTACCTAGTGCTGCTGCTAGCAGCCTATTGCCATTCCTCCATTGATTCCCTGCTATCTTCTTTGCTGTCCAGCTACCTGATGACCTCCCTATACACCCCAACAACAACCCCACCAATAAACACACTGGCACGCGCATCCTTCGTTCACCTGCATACAAAAAAAAAAAAAAAAANTTTTTTTTTTTTTTTTTTTTTTTTTTTTTTTTTTTTTTTTTTTTTTTTTTTTTTTATGTATATATATATATATATATATATATGTATATATATTGTACTTTATATTATATTTATATTGTTATATGTTATATTAATATTACTATATATTATACCTATACTATTATGTATTATAATATTTAATATATAATAATATAAATATATAATAATGTATAATAATATAATATATAATAAATATAATATATAATATATAATAAATATAAATATAATATATAATAAATATAAATATAATATATAATAAATATAATATATAATAATATTAATATAATAAGCAAATCGATAGGTTACGCTCCATATACTTATATACGGCTCCTCATGATGCTGCTGCTGCTGCTGTTGCTGCTGCTGCTGTTGCTGCTGTTGCTGTTGCTGCTGCTGCTGCTGCTGCTTCTGCAGCCACAGCCTCAGCAACAGCAGCAGGAGCTGCGTCGATAGCAACACCAGCAGCAGCAGCACCAACAACACCAGCAGCAGCAGCTAAAGCTGCAGCAACACCAACAGCAGCAGCAACACCAACAGCAGCAGCAACCCCAACAGCAACACCAATACCAATACCAACACCAACAGCAGCAGCAGCAGCAGAAAAGCAGAGGGTTTAGGGTTTAGGGTTTAGGGTTTAGGGTTTAGGGTTTAGAGGTTAA